TGTACTAGTCGTCGCAGAAGAGGTAGTCGTAGTTGTAGTACTTGTAGTGGTAGCGGTAGCGGTAGCGGTTATGGTTATTGCTGTTGTTGTGGTTGTGGTTGTTGTGGTTGTTGTGGTTGTTGTTGTTGTTGCTGGTGCTGGTGCTGGTGCTGCTGCTGCTGCTGCTGCTGCTGCTGCTGGCAGTGTTGTTGATATTGTTGTTGTTGGGGGTGGCGATGGTTGTATGTTTGCTGCTGCTGTTGTTCGCAAGAATGGCAGTTGGGATACTAGGAGCACTGGGGGTCGTTCACACTAGTCGCCGTCGTTGGCCAGAAGGAATGCAGCCAATTCTGGTGCGGTGGAACATGAACTCAACAGCAACAAATTTTACCGGCATCAACATGATCACGACGAAACATCCGGAAGACTGCTAACCTCTAAACTACTCTCCAACAGTCGCTTCCACAACTACCACGACTGCGGCGACTGTGCTGACAAAATACAACGACTTTGGTTGCTGCTGCAGCTGCAAGTCCTCTGTCCGGCCATCTACAGTCGATTTAAGGCTTACATCAGACTGCCCAGCCCTGCGCCTAGTTAAACTAAAATGACCTGAACGAAACGCCCGTCTCTGGCGTGGAATATGTAACAGAAGAAGCACGCTGCGCTCGACGCGATACAACAGGGGAAGTGCTGACTGACACCTTGAAGGCCATATGACTCCTGAACCCTGAACCCATAAGTTCCCCCCAAACCTTGCTTGGAGGATCATCGGACTTAGTAAGTAAGGTTATAAGTCCCCTAATTGGGGTTATAAGTATAGTTACCCTAATTATAACCCTACTTACTAAGTCCCATGATCCTTCAAGTAATGGTCTTAAGAGGCTCAGGCCCTCGAGCCCTAAAGCCCTCCTGGCTTCGACACCTCCAGGTTACCATTCTGTGCGGCGATGTAGACTGGGCTGACGCCACTCCTCCCGCGTTCCGGCGAGAAGGGTTTGGGGCTTAGGGTTTAGTTTTTAGGGTTTAGTTAGGGTTTAGGGTTTAGGGATTAGAGGGCGCTAGGGGCTCAGGATTTAAGGGTGGGAAGGGCTTGGGGATAGTTAGGGGTGCAAGACGCCGAGTCACTCCGGACGATCTCTCTGACAGAGTAAATAGCGAAAGCCCACAGGTAGGACGATGTCAGTTGAGGGCCCGCTATGCAACATGAGGCCAGGACTGACACCCATGACTTCAGAACGAGGCATATCCAAATCGCAATACGCATGAAACTGACATGTACAACACATGAAAAAATGTCTTTACCAGGAGTGCTCCCCGTGGGACTCGTATCAGTAACGCTCAGCGCTTGGCAGCAACAGAATTCAACATGCAAGGCTTGGGCCCCTTTTCAGGTCCCAGTGAGATACTGCAACATCATTGTTTGAGGTTTTCACCAGCCAAAGCAAGAAAGGAAAGCCTTAGCATTGTTGAACCCCGCAGGGCTCCCATGAGCCCTGACCCCATACCACAGGAATTCAATCCCCTGCAAGCCCCAACAGCAGCGCCCTATAGCGCCGTTTCTGGACCACCCTGTCGACAGACTCAAAATAAAATGCGACCCAAGCTTTGACCCACATGGCCCTGAATCCCAGCCCGCCAAACCCCAAACCCTAAAGCGTGTCCTGAGGCAAAGTGTCACGTTGCTGCCATGCTGCACAAGGGCCTTGACTACCTCCAAATGGTCATTCCTCAGCGGAGGTTGCACGTGTTGTAAGGTTTTTCGAAGTTTAAACTTGAGGGCTGAGCTAGCCCAACAGAGGCTATAACCTTTGTAATTTAGAGTAGGGTTTTGTAAACCCCACAGGGTAAAGGGTTACCTACTCAGCCCCGAAGTAAAGGCTTTTACCATGTACGGTGCTTAGGCTTGATGGCGTTGGGGCTGGGTCGCTTGCAGGGGCACCCTGAACCCAAAACATCTGCCTGTTCGCGATGTCCACCGGGCAAGAGCTTTTAGGTTTAGGGTTGAGGATTTGCGTGATTTGTGTGCCATAATGGGGATATATTAGTGTGCATGAAAATGCTGTCCTGTTGAAGATATCTTACATCTTACAGCACTTTCCTGAACAACTGATAACACACCTTTCCAAAGTCTCGGCCGCCAACAAAACTGCGGAATGTCAGAGTGCGTTCCTTTACCAGGGAACAAACCGTCTTGATTAAGCTCCGACAATGAAAGAAGACCCCCAGCAACGACGTGTCTCAGTGCTACTAGTGCGGAAGGACAAACTCCTGCAGTATGCGCAATAAGGGATGTCGAGTCCAACAGCTTAGGATGCCGGGCCTTGTCCATGAACAGTAGGATTCGTATCTCCGCTAAGATTGACTCTTGGTACTGTTGTTAAGCAGCACGCCTGAGCATTCGAAGGTCCACTTTGGTCCCAGGTGTAAAAACTCAATAGAGTAGTTGTCAAAATTATGGTCCCTTTTGGGGTACCCTAAATAATAGGTGCCTTATTATAATAAGGACCCAAAAAGGGACCATAATTTTGACAACCACCTAATAAGAAGGCCAGGCTCTGCGCCGACACAAACACGGGGCTGGCCCCACTGTGCATGCAAAGATCCTGCATCTTCAGGCTTGAGTGTTGAGAATGCCTGAGGGTTGAAAGGGCCTGTGTATGCGGACTGGAAGGGCCACTCATCAGCATTATCATCATCTTCTTCTTCTTCATTGTCCATCATCTTCTTCATTTTCACCTTCATCATCAGTATCACCAACCAACATCATCATCACCCTCACCATCATCTTCTTCTTGATCATCACCATCATCATCATCATCAGCTTCTTCTTCATCATCGTCAGCATCGTCAGCATCATCATCAGCATCGGTGGAGTCGCGTTATTGCTCATGACCACCTCCAAAGGCAGAGAGAGCCCTGCGCTTCCAGGAGGAGTCGGTCCTTCTCTGCCACTTCCAGGGACAGCAAGAACCTGGAAGCGTCGCTGGCTTTCAGGGGTTTAGGGTTTAGGGGTTAGGGTTTAGGGATTAGGGTTTAGGGGTTAGGGATTAGGGTTTAGGGATTAGGGTTCAGGGTTTAGGGATTAGGGTTTAGTGAAACACCAAGCGGTCCGCGGAATTAGAAATGCAGGGGCCTGAGGAAATTAGAATAAGGTGTTGGACTATGCTATCTGGCTTTGGGGTTTCATGCTCCGAAGAAATAGCAGGCGCCTATAAAAGTTCTGCCGCAGTGCCGATCCCCAAACAGGGATAACAGGGGTTTGAAGAAGAAGTAACAGTATTCGCGGCCAAAATGCTTCCCCGAAGTTCAGTGACGCCCAAAGGGGGACCACGTGTTGGAAATTACAGCGGATCTGGCTTCTGCGCGGTTTAGGATTCCAGAAACGTGGGTTCAAGGCCGGTGCTGCATAGGCTCCCAGGCTTGCGCTTTGGAGGGTTTAGGGTTTAGGGTTTAGGGATTAGGGTTTAGGGTTTGGGGCCTAAATCCTATGTGCAAGGAGACCTTGTCCTCAAACTGTGTCTGCCACGCTGGCACAAACTCCAAGCGGTAAATCCTAAAACCCGCAGGCCCTAAAGTCCCAAAAGCCACAGACCTTAAACCCTAATATAGGGCCCTTGATAAGTAGAATAGGGTTTGGGGAGATATTAGACTATATGATTATAATACGGTAATTATTTAGGCCCCTATATTAAACCCATGAAGCCCCAAACCTTTCCAAAACGCTAGACAACACTAAAAGCCAGCTTCACTAGTTATTGAGCAACCTCGGAAGTTAAACGCTAGTCTTCCAGTGCTGTACACGGATGTACAAACACGGTTTAGGGTTTAGGGAAAACTACCGCCACGTCACTACGACTACGACTACACACCGGCCACGTAATGTAGGGGCCTTAATACTTAGAAGAAGGGTGTGGGTTATGTATATTATACCATAATTATAAGCAGGAACCCCCCCAAAAAAACAAAAAAAAATACAGTGTTGCACCGGTATTGCCCTGAAGCGCCAATTTCCCAGCCTCAAGTCCGCTTCGAAACCGTGAACCCTAAAAGCCCAAACCCAGAAAACGACTTCTCGGTCCAAACAGTTGAGGGTTTAGGGATTTAGGGTGTAGGGTTTCTAAAGCCAACCTTGAGTCCGGTAACACCCGCCCCCCCACCCTCTGACGACGCGCATAGTGACCCTTAGATCCTTATTGTAACCTCTATAGTAAGCCTTGTTATTGGTCAATTCCCTTCAATCCCCAATAAAAACCACCAGCGTCACATGCCAACGTTCACAGCCCCTGTCAATAAAACCCTACTGCTCTACATCCCTAAGCCTTTAGCAAAGTGACGACGTGACTAAACCTTAAACCCAAGTGAAGAACAGTTTTTCCGCCATAGCAACTTCACTGTCGAGAGGTTTCCATTTTGCGCGGCAATAAGCATTGGGGTGGCGCCGTCCTGCGCCTGTTTCGCGAAGGAAGGGGGTGAATGGCGGCACTACTGTATTAGTACTCTGCTACTACTGTGCTGGTAATGTGCCACTGCTGTACACATGTACTAATGTGGTACGTACTATTGTGGCTTTACTCCTGTGCTGTTGTACCGCTTTGCCGGGGCGTGGGGATGTAGGAATGCCACTGCCACTACCCGTACCCCCAGAATGCCATCGCTACCACTACCGCCACCGCTACCGCTACCACTATCACTACGACGACGACTACGACGACAACAACTGCGACTTCGATGCCTCCAGCTGCTTCTGTTTCTGTGCTGGTAAGGCGGTACAACTGACAACCACCGCATGGACTACTTCATGACCGTCAGTAAGGTTCTACCTGCTCTTTGTGCCCTTGCTAGCTGCGTGGGCTCTTGCATCGGCTTCGCTCTGCATCAAGACTCTCCTCGCAACGGAAACGCGGCTCTGCCTGCTTGTTGACCTCAGCCCCCCTTTCGAACAGGAGCTCCGCCACATCTTTATTGTCCTTCCTTGGGGCTTCCGGGGCCCTCAGAGGGGTCCCCGAAATCCCGTCCACATGGGTTCTTGACTCGGGACCCTCTACGGGTTCCCTGCTCAAGACCCTCCATGTATGGTTTTGTCAGGACCCTCTA